CCCAATCACCAGTTACTTACAAGCCCCCTTCCAAACACGACGTAACTCCATTGTAACTGAGTCTCCTCTGTCCCAATCACCAGTTACTTACAACCCCCCTTCAAACTCCATCATAACTGAGTCTCCTCTGTCCCAATCTCCACTTGTAACCCCTTGAGTCCATCCTCTGTCCCAATCACCAGTTACTTACAGCGTAACTCCATCATAACCCCCTTCAAACTTACGCCCTTCAAACGTAACTCCATCATAACTGAGTCTCCTCTGTCCCAATCACCAGTTACTTACAACCCCCTTCAAACACGACGTAACTCCATCATAACTGAGTCTCCTCTGTCCCAATCACCAGTTACTTACAAGCCCCTTCAAACACGACGTAACTCCATCATAACTGAGTCTCCTCTGTCCCAATCACCAGTTACTTATCAACTGAGTCCCCTTCAAACACGACGTAACTCCATCATAACTGAGTCTCCTCTGTCCCAATCACCAGTTACTTACAACCCCCTCCAAACACTACGTAACTCCATTGTAACTGAGTCTCCTCTGTCCCAATCACCAGTTACTTACAACCCCCTCCAAACACTACGTAACTCCATTGTAACTGAGTCTCCTCTGTCCCAATCACCAGTTACTTACAACCCCCTCCAAACACAACTCCATTGTAACTGAGTCTCCTCTGTCCCAATCACCAGTTACTTACAACCCCCTCCAAACACTACGTAACTCCATTGTAACTGAGTCTCCTCTGTCCCAATCACCAGTTACTTACTACCCTTTCCTAGCACTATGTAACTCCATTGTAACTGACCAATATTTCCGAGAAGCTGAAGCCCATCCCCTGGAGCTGGTGGCCCTTCAGAAGATGTTTTGTTGGTCCGCTATCCTTTCATTTTACTTTGATGAAATCCTCTCAAAGCTAATTGCTTCGAAATGCAATTAGGTTTGAAACAATAAAACAAAAACAGTGATACGTGTTATTTTTGTTAGCTATCTGCCTCGGCCATTACAGCTGATTGATGTAGGAGCTGTGTGGCAGAGTGGGGTCTGCCCTGCGGGGACAGTCACGCTCCATCTCAATCATATGTTGACGTTCTACTTTGTTCATATCTTATCATCGATATAGTTGTCAAACAGATCATAAAACATGATGGAATCCTCTTAAACAATCCCTCTCCATGCTGACTTTGACAAGTTTAACACAAAGGTGGACTACCCTGGTGCCAGCCCCGCTTCCCGCCTGTTCTCTAGATTGGGGGTGATGATGGTGCAGTCTCCTGGGTGATGTCGGTTCTCTGTGCCCTGCACACCAACACCAGCAGCAAAATCAATAAGTCAAAATCCTACTGGGAATAAAATGATCATGCTGGATTGAATTTAACAGCTTTTGAAAAGAGACTGTTGTTTCACATTACATATATGGGTGAGGCAGTATACAAGACCGTAAGGAGGAAGTATGTTGAGTCAAGACCTCCGTGCCAGCAGACACTGGGGAGCTGGAGTGAGGAACAGATAACACAAGACAAAGACATGATTCGATTTGGACTGTACATCTATACTACATAGTCTAGTTAAAGATGTCAGTCTGGCTGGACAGACGTACAAAAATGTTGTTGGACGATCCATGATGGCAGTTATCATGATAAATAGTGTCTGAACCTGAAGAAACAGAGCAAGGAATCCATGTTCAGTACAGAAAATAGTGTCTGAACCTGCAGAAACAGAGCATGGAATCCATGTTCAGTACAGATAATAGTGTCTGAACCTGCAGAAACAGAGCACTGAGTCCATGTTTAGTACAGATAATAGTGTCTGAACCTGCAGAAACAGAGCACTGAATCCATGTTCAGTACAGATGTCTGAACCTGAAGAAACAGAGCACTGAATCCATGTTTAGTACAGATAATAGTGTCTGAACCTGCAGAAACAGAGCAAGGAATCCATGTTCAGTACAGAAAATAGTGTCTGAACCTGCAGAAACAGAGCATGGAATCCATGTTCAGTACAGATAATAGTGTCTGAACCTGCAGAAACAGAGCACTGAGTCCATGTTTAGTACAGATAATAGTGTCTGAACCTGCAGAAACAGAGCACTGAATCCATGTTCAGTACAGATGTCTGAACCTGAAGAAACAGAGCACTGAATCCATGTTTAGTACAGATAATAGTGTCTGAACCTGCAGAAACAGAGCACTGAGTCCATGTTCAGTACAGATAATAGTGTCTGAACCTGCAGAAACAGAGCACTGAATCCATGTTTAGTACAGATAATAGTGTCTGAACCTGAAGAAACAGAGCACTGAGTCCATGTTTAGTACAGATAATAGTTTCTGAACCTGAAGAAACAGAGCACTGAATCCATGTTTAGTACAGAAAATAGTGTCTGAACCTGAAGAAACAGAGCAAGGAATCCATGTTCAGTACAGAAAAGTGTCTGAACCTGCAGAAACAGAGCACTGAATCCATGTTCAGTACAGAAAATAGTGTCTGAACCTGAAGAAACAGAGCAAGGAATTCATGTTCAGTACAGAAAATAGTGTCTGAACCTGCAGAAACAGAGCAAGGAATTCATGTTCAGTACAGAAAATAGTGTCTGAACCTGCAGAAACAGAGCAAGGAATCCATGTTCAGTACAGAAAATAGTGTCTGAACCTGCAGAAACAGAGCAAGGAATCCATGTTCAGTACAGAAAATAGTGTCTGAACCTGCAGAAACAGAGCAAGGAATCCATGTTCAGTACAGAAAATAGTGTCTGAACCTGCAGAAACAGAGCAAGGAATCCATGTTCAGTACAGAAAATAGTGTCTGAACCTGAAGAAACAGAGCAAGGAATTCATGTTCAGTACAGAAAATAGTGTCTGAACCTGCAGAAACAGAGCAAGGAATTCATGTTCAGTACATAAAATAGTGTCTGAACCTGCAGAAACAGAGCAAGGAATCCATGTTCAGTACAGAAAATAGTGTCTGAACCTGCAGAAACAGAGCAAGGAATCCATGTTCAGTACAGAAAATAGTGTCTGAACCTGAAGAAACAGAGCAAGGAATCCATGTTCAGTACAGAAAATAGTGTCTGAACCTGCAGAAACAGAGCAAGGAATCCATGTTTAGTACAGATAATAGTGTCTGAACCTGCATCTGGTACATCACAGAGTTGCTGGTACATGATACACTGTGGTACATCACAGAGCTGGTACATGATACACTGTGGTACATCACAGAGCTGGTACATGATACACTGTGGTACATCACAGAGCTGGTACATGATACACTGTGGTACATCACAGAGCTGGTACATGATACACTGTGGTACATCACAGAGCTGGTATATGATACACTGTGTTGCATCACTGAGCTGGTACATGATACACTGTGGTACATCACAGAGCTGGTACATGATACACTGTGGTACATCACAGAGCTGGTACATGATACACTGTGGTACATCACAGAGATGGTACATGATACACTGGTACATCACAGAGCTGGTACATGATACACTGTGGTACATCACAGAGATGGTATATGATACACTGTGTTGCATCACTGAGCTGGTACATGATACGATGTGGAACATCACAGAGCTGGTACATGATATACTGAGGTACATCACAGGGCTGGTACATCACACTGCTGGTACATGATACACTGTGGTACATCACACTGCTGGTACATGATACACTGTGGTGCATCACTGAGCTGGTACATGATGCACTGTGTTACATCACAGAGCTGGTACATGATACATTGTGGTACTTCACAGAGCTGGTACATTATACACTGTGGTACATCACAGAACCAGGTATAACTGTTTTACTGCACACTCACAAGAACATTGTTCTGACCTGAAAACTGTAGGGGAACCTGTGGAATGATCAGCTCTTGTGAGTTTCTGAATGACAACTATTTTGGCTTCAGTGTTCATGTCACCAAACAAACTGGAAGTCTCTTTCTGGCACAAGTTAATTCGACACACACACCTGCCAATGACTAGATACTGTATCTGCACGTGGCACGTGTTTTAATTGACCTTTCACCTGTGTTGACAAGACAGGTAGGAGAGCGGTCACGAGCCACACGATGAATGCCTTTCACTCTGATCCGTGAATACCTCCGACGCACAATTACACGGGATAAGCATGGAGAAATTAACCGTAGCCAAGTGTTCACAGTGATCAAACAAGCTAAAGATTGACTGACGTGACAATGAGTCTAACATTTAAACAGTAGCGTGTAGTGTCGGCACTTCTCACTCGGTTAGCGTACAAAGTAGAGACGGGCAATAATGGACTGTCCCATTGTTGTACCGCCGTCGACATGAACAACACGACCCACCCACAATGTTCACGTTGCATTGAACATCGACTAGTGAGATACCTTGTCTGATACTTTAAACAGCATGCACCAATGATACATTCTCTAGCCATGGAACACTATCAGCTGTCATATTGCCTTCAGTTATGATGATATGTTTGCGAGTTTTCAGGGTACTGCTTTGAGCTACACGAAACAGTGACTGGAACATAAGCTGGTTTATCTACTCTCACTGATAAACTGCCCCAGTGTCAACATGGACAAACGGCCCAGGTCTACCTGTCGGCTCGGTAGGCACCCCGTCATACCTTGTTTCGGCGCTAGCTCTTGAACGCTGATATACGGCTGTCATCGTTCCTCACAGTACCATTCCATCGCTGCAGTCCCCCATTTCTGTCAATGCCAGTCAATAAAGCACCCCTGTCACTCGCCAGGCCTACACTGTCGGACCAAGCATTTGGACCGCGGCTGTTCCTTGAAGCAAGTTGACCCCCCCAATCGTGTCATGTCATAACTTGTTACGAAGTTGAAAAGGACTGCTAAAAGTTAATTCTATGTAGATAAGTTTCCGACTTTCATCGCAAATGACAATTTGCACACGCGGAAAAAATGAAGGTACCAAACACCATGAATTCGATCTGACATACACCGCACGTGTTGCAGCTAGGGTCTTAACGCGGGGGGCCGGGGGCTGTTAGGGATAAGGGCTTGTGACAGTGGTAGACGCTCGTGCACCTGGTTTGTACCTGTGATTCGCGCTGTGTCGACAAACGGAATGCTGTTATTTACCTCGAAAGTATGCAACAACACCTGCAGATAAATAAGAAAATGAGGAGAGAAATCTTTGACAGTGTCGTTTTGTGGATGTTAATTCCTTGTTTGATCCTTGGCGTGGAAAGTGAAGCACCCTCATCGGCAGCCACCGTAGAGACGGGGGCCGACCCAACCTCACCCCCAGACGAAGTGACCCAAGTGTTGCATGTGCCCCACCTCAACAAGTCAGTCACACTGGATATCATTCACAGCTCAAAGGTAAGGCTGCTTTAATTGCTTCTTTAGCCAAGGAACATGTACATATGGTCCCCTGTTTGGCAAGTGTCACAGCTGTGGTCTTCCACTACGGGTGGGGGAGGGCAGGTAGTGTTGTGCCGCCTGCTACTTTCTCTACGGGAGGAATGTCTATAGGGGGACTTGTCTATAGGGGGACTTGTCCATGGACATATCACTCTGTATGCGGTGGGGGTGGGCAGGGTGTCGGCTCAGTGGGTGGGGCACCATGTTTTACATGTGGTTCTGTCAGTGGGGTCATAGTGTTGTATGAGGGAAGGGTGTTAAGGGTCTAGAGCCACTGTTTGCATGTTGGGGATGTTTACAGTGAGTCTGTGGGGGCACCTGCTTTCTGGTGATTCCTGTGATCTGACCCAGGGGATTGTTTGTTTGTTGTTTTACGCCACACTCGGCAGTATTCCACCTCTATGGCGGTGGTCTGTAAATAATCGAGTCTTGACCAGACAACCAGTGATCAACAGCATGAGCAATGATCTACTCATTTGGGATATGAAGATATGTGTCCAAGTCAGTGAGCCTGACACCATTATTCCAGTAGTCGCCTCTTACGACAAGCATGGGTTACTGCATGAAGACCAATTCTAAGCCAGATCTTAATGGGTCGGGACCCGGAGATGGGATGTCACACATTTGTTACACATGTAGGCAACGATCCCTTCCAGGGGGCTACAGGTGTCCAGAGGTATAGTCGCAGCAATTTGACCCCCATTGTTGGGGGTGTTGGAAACAATGTTTAAGGTTCATTAGATTCCAACATTCACTAAAAAGAAATAATTTTTCTTTAAGGTTTGTCAGGGTTACTCCTGAGTCTTGCCACCAACTGAAATACTGGCTGAATATATGCTATCTTAAACTAAACTCTCTCACTCACATTACATCGAGTTAGGGGAGAAAGGGCTCAGGCTGACTCAACAAATGAACACACATTCCACTGGACCACCCTGGTACTGTCCTGTTCGTACACCAGCCAGTTACTGGAATGTGATGACAGTGCATTTTCCTGCTGCACGACACTCTTTTACAAGATCCACAGTTATGTATCATCAGAGAATTGTGTTAAATTCCATGAATAAATACAAGTTGTTAAATGCAATGTTACTGTTACGTTTTCATCAAGTATAAAGAGGGTGCTTATATAGAAAGATATAAACTTTTATCAAGTGTTACTGGTTGTAGACAGATGGACTTGCTGAATGTCAGTGTGTGATTGCGGAGGCCAGCAGAGATGAGCACTCTCACACTTAAGTAGCAGTCTTGATCCACTATAGAATTATTCATAGTGTCTCTCAAGAATGTTTAATAGAAAGGAAAAAAATCTCTGAATAATCAGCAATGCAAACTAGTTGACACAGAGTTAGAGATCTGGTTGGTTTCCGTGACAACTGACCTGAGCATATGTTGCTGTGTGATAGAAGAAACCTGCTTCTGCCCAACACAAAACACGGGATCATTGGACTGAAGGCTTATAATCATTTGGTAGTGCCCCAAGAGGCTGAACGCCAGAAAACAAATCTGTTGTTTTATATTTCCAAAGCTTCTGTACATTTCATCCACATGTTCCAGTTAGGCACTCGACACCACTGCTGTGGTAACTAGTTTCATTCCCAGGGCCTTGATTTTCGAAGCTCTCTTAGCGCTGAGATAGTCGTAAGTTAATGTTAAAATATGGCACTTACGACTATCTTAGCGCTAATAGAGCTTCGAAAATCTAGGCCCAGATCCTCAGTGTGTATAGGCTTGAAGTGCTTGTTCTGAAGGAAATTGTTATGAACGCTTGCTATTGTCAAACTACCCTGATTGGTATTGTAGACCCATTCTGACTGGTATTGTAGACCCATCCTGACTGGTATTGTAGACCCACCCTGACTGGTATTGTAGACTTAAACTGATGGGTATTGTAGATCCACCCTGACAGGTATTGTAGACCCACCCTGACTGGTATTGTAGACTTAAACTGATGGGTATTGTAGACCCACCCTGGCTGGTATTGTAGACCCACCCTGACAGGTATTGTAGACCCACCCTGACTGGTATTGTAGACCCACCCTGACTGGTATTGTAGACCCATCTTGCCTGGTATTGTAGACCCATCCTGCCTGGTATTGTAGACCCACCTTGACTGGTATTGTAGACTTAAACTGATGGGTATTGTAGATTCAGGATGGTTGGTTCTGTAGATCCATGTAGGTTGGTATTGTATATCGAGTTAGGTTGGTACTGTAGATCCATGTAGGTTGGTATTGTAGATCCAGGTAGGTTGGTATTGTAGATCCATGTAGGTTGGTATTGTATATCCAGTTAGGTTGGTACTGTAGATCCATGTAGGTTGGTATTGTAGATCCAGGTAGGTTGGTATTGTAGATCCATGTAGGTTGGTATTGTAGATCCAGGTAGGTTGGTATTGTAGATCCATGTTGGTTGGTATTGTATATCCAGTTAGGTTGGTACTGTAGATCCATGTAGGTTGGTATTGTAGATCCAGGTAGGTTGGTATTGTAGATCCATGTAGGTTGGTATTGTATATCCAGCTAGGTTGGTACTGTAGATCCATGGAGGTTGGTATTGTAGATCCAGGTAGGTTGGTATTGTAGATCCATGTAGGCTGGTATTGTAGATCCAGGTAGGTTGGTATTGTAGATCCATGTAGGTTGGTATTGTATATCCAGCTAGGTTGGTACTGTAGATCCATGTAGGTTGGTATTGTAGATCCAGGTAGGTTGGTACTATAGATCCATGTAAGTTGGTATTGTAGATCCAGGTAGGTTGGTATTGTAGATCCTGGAAGGTTGGTATTGTAGATCCAGCTAGGTTGGTATTGCAGATCCTGGTAGGTTGGTATTGTAGATCCTGGTAAGTTGGTATTGTAGATCCTGGTAAGTTGGTATTGTAGATCTTGGTAGGTTGGTATTGTAGATACAGGTAGGTTGGTATTGTAGATCCTGGTAGGTTGGTATTGTAGATCCTGGTATGTTGGTATTGTAGATCCTGGTAGGTTGGTATTGTAGATCCTGGTAGGTTGGTATTGTAGATCCTGGTAGGTTGGTATTGTAGATACTGGTAGGTTGGTATTGTAGATCCATGTAGGTTGGTATTGTAGATCCTGGTAGGTTGGTATTGTAGATCCTGGTAGGTTGGTATTGTAGATCCAGCTAGGTTGGTATTGTAGATCCATGTAGGTTGGTATTGTAGATCCTGGTAGGTTGGTATTGTAGATCCATGTAGGTTGGTATTGTAGATCCAGCTGCACATGTATTGTAGACTTTGTAGTTATATTCTCCATGACTCCTTTGCCAAGAGTTTGAAGTGTCTCTCTCACTCAAACTTTGCAGTGTCTCTCCTCGGAGAATAACTAGGAATTATGTGTCTTACTGAAACAACGTCTCTTTACTGTTGTATCAAGTCAATGAAGATTATTACAAATATATTGGTAACTGTGACCATACAGAGTTGTAATATCAATGACTGTGTGCAGTCTGAGTGGCAGAGTTATTGGGATGGTATCACTGTCATATATAATCTCTACTTGAATTGGCTTAGGAGGGTTAGCCGTGTCAGTTACTTCAGTGGAGGAAGACAAGCATTCATCCATGTGATCTGGTGTTTATGTCGGGAGTTGTCGTTGTGAGTTCACGCCCCGTCAATATAGGGTTCTGGTCACAGCCTGATCTGTGGATCCTGTGACACAGACCAACAGGACATCTTCAGTGCTGATGATGGTGCACAAGCCCCTATCAATTCGACCCTCTCATATCTGAATATTCATTCTCATTACAAGGTGTTTGATTACCATTACCACAGAAGTAACATGTTGCAGCAGGATGTCTATATATACAGGCTTCACACGGGAACAGTTCTCAGCAGATTATCTGATGTGAAGAATCAACTGTGGGAACTCCTCAAGCAGATTCACAATAAACATGAACATTGTTAGGTCAGTGGGTGGAAACCTTCTTAGAAGTCAGTTATCAGTATTTCAGCATTACTTAAATTAAAACTGAAATAAAATGTCTGTTTCACTCTGACCAATGTAGCATGATCTGTAGCATGATCTGTGCCATGATCTGTGCCATGGTTTTGTTGTGTTGTGTTGGTCTCTGTCTCTGGTTGAAGCTGTCACTGTTTGGTTGCATCTGTCACTGTTGGATGGTGTGTTGTGTTGGTCTCTGTCTCTGGTTGAAGCTATCACTGTTGGATGGTGTGTTGTGTTGGTCTCTGTCTCTGGTTGAAGCTATCACTGTTGGATGGTGTGTTGTGTTGGTCTCTGTCTCTGGTTGCATCTGTCACTGTTGGATGGTGTGTTGTGTTGGTCTCTGTCTCTGGTTGCATCTGTCACTGTTGGATGGTGTGTTGTGTTGGTCTCTGTCTCTGTTGGTCTGTTGGATGGTGTCTGTGGTCTGTCTCTGGTTGCATCTGTCTGTCACTGTTGGATGTTGTGTTGTGTTGGTCTCTGTCTCTGGTTGCATCTGTCACTGTTGGATGTTGTGTTGTGTTGGTCTCTGTCTCTGGTTGAAGGTCTGTCACTGTTGGATGTTGTGCTGTGTTGGTCTCTGTCTCTGGTTGCATCTGTCATTGTTGGATGGTGTGTTGTGTTGGTCTCTGTCTCTGGTTGCATCTGTCATTGTTGGATGTTGTGTTGTTTTAGTCTCCATCTCTGGTTGCATCTGTCACTGTTGGATGGTGTGTTGTTTTAGTCTCCATCTCTGGTTGAAGCTGTCACTGATAGATGGTGTCCTGTGTTAGTCTGTAAGTCAAGACTGGATGTATCCAATGCCAACCTGTGTCAGCAGGGGTTCAGGTTATCAAGTATGTAAATCACTGTAAGTAGCCAGGAGCTGATGCAGGTATTATTTCCTCGTATCCCATGGGGGAATTATGGGCTGTTTATCTACTTAGTTCTGCTGGTTTTCTCTGGGGGTCTATAGCATGGTGGTACTCCCGCTGATTAAAGTCAACATAAATAATAG